ATGAGAGGGTGAGCCAGTCCTGCAGCATCCAGCCCCTACGCGGCAGGCTCTGCTGGAGGGTTCAAAAGAGAAATGTAGGAAACAACTGCTGGAAAACAACCTATGGACTAGAAAAGAGTAACTGCTCAAATAGAAACCTCAGCTAGAAATAGCACTTCATTTTCCTGGATTTCACAGAGAACAAAGATTCAGATTGTACACCCCCAAATGTATGACTGTGGGGAATTACAGACAGGACAGAGCTGATTGATTGCTAAATTTTCTTTGGGTTCCCCCTCCCTGGACCCACACAAACATGCAGTAACTGTGGCAAAAAAACCCCTTCACTACACCAAAACTTGCTCATCCCCATTCCTAACGGTGCCAGTAGAGCACCCACCATGTGGCAGCTTCAACCATCCATTCTGGCATGATGAAGACTCCCACAGGATGGATAGAAAAGAGCGGCAATGACAGTTGGGGGATCAAACCCAGAGCTCTGTCACGACAGGTTTGTGAGCCACAGGGACACAGCTCGCCCGGCCAGGGCAGCAGTGCCTCCCAGCTCCCCAGCCCAGCACAGGGGCCATTTATTCCTCAGCTAAACCCAGGCCGCACCGCAGCCCAGCCTAACCCAAACCAACAGAGCCGGTGAGCACTAAATTCAGTCATTTTCCCCTCAGTCTCTTCTCTCAATTTCAGCTCTGACTCCTCTATCTTTTATTTCTTTTTCTAAAGACACATTTAGAGATGAAACCATTCATAACTGCCTATCCACAGACAGTTTGTGGCAGCATAATTGACAATGAGTCTGCTGCAAAAATGAAAATGCTGTTTTAATAACCTTGGCCTAAAATACATTCTGTTGTATGCCTCAAAGGGTTTCAATAAAAAGTCAACCTGTAGAGACATATTTTCTTGGCTTAAACAACAATCCAAAGCATATAAATGTAGTCCAACTATAATGACATATTTATAGGCCAATAAAGCTTACACTGCAGCTTTCATACTTCACTTAAAGGAAGTCTGTAAGAAGCAGTGTTATATAAAATAATTTGAATTTTTTTTCGAACTATAGCCCAAGGAATACAAATATGCAACTTTGCCATATTTAACCAATAGTGTTTACATTGCTTAGTTGCTAAAAATTTTGTAAAATGAAATAATTCCTCATTTGGTGACTTCCCACTGGTTTACCAAATATGGGTATACGAGTCCATTTATTACAAAGAAAAATCCCCTAAATAATTCTAAAGACAAAAATAAATAACTAGCGGCCTTAGTAGTGAATGATTTAATCAGACCAATTCTTCTGGAAAAACAGGTTCTCATGTTCATTATGAATAATACATTCCTGAGCAACTCTATTTTTATATGCTGCATTGTTGTTATTCTCTATTTTTCTCAGCATTTGAAAGAAATATTCGGAAAGCTATAAATAGTCTTAAGACATAAACTGCTAACATTCAATATTGACATATTTGTAGAAAGGGACAGAATGTATAACATAAATATCTCAACAGGCAGAAAGAAATAATTCTTAAAAATCATTTTTCAGGCTGAAATCTTGAAGCGCACACAGAAAATGCTATTGCTAGATCTTTTATTTAATACGGTCCTAAGGAAAAGTTCTGCATAATTCACTAGTGATAAAAACAATGGCATTTTACAAGAAAAAAAAATGTTTCTGCAGAGAAGAAGAGCAATGAGAAAAGAAGAAAGAAGAAAAAAGAGACGAGGAAAAAAAGAGACAAAAAGAGGGGGAAAAATAATAAAGAGAAAAATCACAGAACAAAAAAGAAGACAGACCTACTGAATTTGAATTATGGGTGCATGCTTTCTCCAGGTTGTAGATTAACCAGATGTTGCTTTAGTTTTGGCTAAGGAAGTGCCACGGAGCGTATGGCACAGGGTAGACACCGCTCACACGTGGCCCCACTTTGCCCGGTTGTTGTTTAAAGCTGCCCTGCTCCCAGCAGCAACGTGTCGAATTAAGTGTGTTTGTGCAGTGCCACTTCTGTGGTTCTGTACCAGCCCTGTTTTAATTTCATCCGGGTTATTTCACCCTTCACCACTCCTGGACAGCGTATGAAAACTGATTTTGTTTCTTCTGTAAAATTTTTTGAGTTCTTTGGTAGGCATATAATTTCCTATTGCCTTCTACAGCTTGGTTCAAAAACATCTAATGGGAAAAAAATCATAATCTACTCACTTATGGGATTTTTCTGTAATGGAAACATGCCTTTTCCTAGGAAAGAAGGGGTCTGGGAGATCACCTTGCTTATCTAGGCCTTTTTAACACCTGGTTCAGCAACTTCCTTGTCTACAGCCAGGGTTAAATGTGGGCATCACTACAGACTCATGCATAGTCTACCTGATCAGCACAAGAAGTGATTTGTTCCCTTCAGACCCAAGTTGTGTACAAAGTGGTCTGCCCCATCACAGCCGCTCCACTCTGCCCGGTGGGGAAGCCCTCCATGAAATAACCCATGGGCACCAGCACTGAATACCTGATTAGGAGGAGAAGTGTGCTGCCATGGTGGGAAGTGGTGGATGTGCGGGAGATCACCCCTCCATTTGGGCTGACTGGCCTCGCTAATATAGCTGTGCTGATGCTCTCACCCAGAGGGACCTTTGCATGGCAGTGCATCGTGCTCGCTCACAGTTTACAACCCTATTTTAAGAGAAAATCCACCCCATCCCATTGTGCTAGAGACCTACTGCAGAAGTTATTGCTAATAAATCTTTGATCACTGCGGCTGAGCGTTGCTCTGTTGGCAAGATGCTGAGTACTGGAAAAGGTCTGTGGGCACACGTTGTAACAGGCACTAAACCTGCCATTTTGACAGCAGAGAAGATACAACACCAGCAGCTTAAATCCACTATGCCTTGGACACTGCACGTTATGCTACTGCCTTTGCCTACAGTAGGGAGACAGCAGTTCCCAGGATACAATGTCAACCTTGACCAACCACTCAGAATAAGAGACATAAATCTTCTTTACCAGCTGGGTCTTAAACCTCCATCCCATAATTAAGCCAAACACCAGAGCTCATGGATTGCCTACAGGACACAACCAAACAGGGCTGCTTCACAAGCAATGAAGATCACCATTCTGCATTTTTCTCAGCTCCGGGGAGTAAACTATGCTTAAATTCTTGGGTCTTTCAAATAGTAAAAAAGTAATCTTAGTGCTAGATTTAAAGAATTTCTTTGATTGCCTTTCATAGGCTAGATCAGTTGTCTGTATCAGCCTGCCTAATCAGCTATAGGTCTTCTTGAACCTTTGGTTTCACTCCTATCAACCAGTCATTATGAAGAAAAAAGACAATCGTAATGAAACATTAGTCAAAATACCCTTTTCTACTGAAAAGAAAGACTCAACAATAAAGCCAGAGCCACCAACCGAAAATGAGCAACATCAGACTGTGGGTTATCAAAACTGTACCATACAGTTTGCATTCCACAAACATTTTCAGCAAAACCCCTACTTTCAAAGGCTTAACATGCAACTATAAGCTTTAGGCTTAAAGATAATTTTCTTTGGCTCCTAGGGTAGATAATAGCAATTTCATAACTTACCACAAAGGGGTTTTTGTTTGTTAAAAACAAAAATGAGAAAACATTAATACACAAACGTTCTGTCTGAAAAAAAGTTAAGATTCTTCTGACACAACAAACAACTGCAAATAAATGTAGTGCGTAAAGAAGATGCCAGGGCAATAGCAGAGAAAATTACTGCATGTAATTATGAACCAGAAGAAACCACACAGAAAAGCAAAGGAAAAGAGAAAGAATTGCATGGGTTATTTTTTTTTTCCTGGAAATGTAATGAAAAATAAGATCAACTTCCAACTGTACTTTAAACTTCCAACCTACATATCTAATGGTGAAATGCAAGACTGACAAAATAACCATTTGCTAAGATCAGAAAAACAAGATGCAGAAGATAAATCCACCAAGACAGATCTTCAGCTTAGTGTAACTTGGCTTTGATGCCAACGCAGTCACGCCATTGTAAAACAACTTGGCCCTGCATCTCCTGTTAATGTAGGTACAAAAGTATTTCCTCACATCATCAGCCTTAGCTTTTAATTTCTTACCTTTCCACACATCATGGCCTCAATTTGATGCCCTTCAAACTTGGAACATTTGTTAAAAGCTTGGTACGACAGAGAAACGTCCCTGGGATGCACTTCAAAGTGCCGCCTCTGGCAGCTATTAGGCATCCAAGGTCCCAATACCACAACAGGCTTGTTTACCAACAGGAGAGCCATCCTCCTCAGACCCTGGGCCTCCACCATGGATTTGAGAGGTGTCAGTGTCTGCGCACCAAAGCAGCCCCAGAGCTGCAAGCCTGTCTGCAACCATCCACAGCAGCAGAACTACCGTTTCCCTCCCTAAAAATGGACAGGGAAAAAATGCACGGGTCTGTCTGGAGAGAACAGCAGGGTGCTTGCAGGGGGCCTATGCTGCATAAAGCATAAAGCTCACAAGAAAACGCTACAGAAGGCTGTAGAAGAGACACGTCCCTAACAAATGAGACACAAAGTTGACCGTATGGAGACAGGGTAAGCACCAGGCACGGGTGGCAATCCTGCGCTTCCAGAAGATGGGACACGAGAAGTGAAAGGTCTTTGTTCTCCCCTGCCTGTCAGAGGAGGCCTTGGAAAGATGTGTCAGGCTCCTCTCCTCACAGTGCACAGCTCTGACCTGATCCCCTGGTCTGCAGAGCTCCATGGAGAGCCCTTGACAATTACTTGCACATGCATCTTCAAGGTTTGAGCCTTAGTGCTCAGGGACACGTCTACGGAGCAGACAAGTATCGCAGCTGACGCCGAAGGAGCCTGTGATGAGCTCACCACCACCCATTCCACTCGGGTACCTCATCACCACACCTCCGCCCAAAGCACAGACATACCTTGGGAAGCGGCGACGGCTTGGCAGCATCAGGCTCATCTGCCTTCGAAAGACGCTCACCCACGGGCCCTTCCCCACAGGAGAAAGTAAGGGATACTCACCAAGGTCAGCCTTTTCCTTCAGGATGTCTTTGAAGTTCAAGCCACTGTTGAGCGTGGATTGTCTGTATCTCGTCAAGGCCTCCTTCTGCCCATTCTTCCCCACATGCATCGGCTTAACCGGCTCAGCCCGGAAACCACACTTCCACTTGGAGAAATCGGACTGTGCCCATTTTGCCAAGTCCTCAAGCTTCACAGTAACTTTCTCTGAAACAGCAATAACTTCATCCTGCAAGAAGCAGTCAAATGAGAATACAACACGTCACGCGGGGCTTCGCCATGACTGATACCACCTGTAACGCCACCCCCCACAGGCTGCTGGAAGAGCCTATCTTGCTGTTGGCAGATTAATTATTCTGTAATACCGAATATCTAGTACTTAATTTCTTCCTCTTGACACCGAAATGGAAATATTAGTTGTTTACTTGAAGCAAATACACAAGATCTAAAGACAATTTCTAGGACCGGGGCAATGATCCTAACAGGCATTTGAAATGCAGGTTGCCAAATCACATTCTGTATAACCCAAAGCCTTCAGGGAAAGTTTGTTTTTTAGGTGCAATTAGCTGCAAATGTAAAAATTCATGGCTGGATGACTAATGGTTATAGCTAGTCCTGAAATAAATGGACTAAGTAAATCTCAGATTCTTGGAACTCTGACTCACCAGAAAATTCCTGTGTTTATGGTACATTTTCCCTTGGCTTATATACAAATATTGAATTTAACTTTTGTCCTAAAAATTAAATAAAACTGTGATGTAATCCCAAAAGAAATACTACATAAATGTTATGTGCTTCCCACCAAAAGAAACTTGCACATTCTCATGTTTCTTAAAACCTTTTTCAAGATCAGAACTGTAATTTTTTTTCCCTTCTTAAATATACATTCTAAGAAAAGCACTTAAACTTAGTTTAGCCTCCAGAACATATACTCGAATTAAACAGCTCTAATTGCTGAATTTTATCCTTCCAGAAAACAATCAACTCCTCTCAGTCATGATGAATAAGCAGAATGTTTTATAGCTGACTCCAGTGAGCAAGGGCTCAAGAAAGCCTCAAAAAAAATAAACAAACAAACATAGACACATAACCAGCAAGATATACTCCAGATTTTCTAGTTAAAATTGCAGAAATCATTTATGTTGTAATGAGAGCTAGCTGCACACCACACCTTGCCCATCGCACATTTCTAGCACTAAATAAGGTTACAGGTTCTTGAAATAAATAAAACAGAATCCAATTTTCCTCTCAAATAAACACAAGTATTTGCAAAGGGGAGAGAAATTCTTTGAGTTATTAAACAAAGAGAAAAGCACGATTGATTCTCTCCGTGTGGTTTTTTTCTTCCACTGAACACATTCCTCAGGAAATAAAATACTGCTCAATAGGAAAAAAAAAAAAAAAAAAAAGCTTTATTGTGATAAGTTACACACAATACAAAACCTGAAGGATCTCTAGTAAAAAAAGCAGATCTGATATTCCACTCTCCCTTATATAATACAAAATCGTTTTATAAGCAGGCACCTTCATTACATTTAGTGCAATAACAAATATTTGGTCAGAAATGAACGGCATGCTTACATGCTAAATAAGCTTGTAATAAAATCTTTTCCTTTATCATTGCACAGCGTAAGAGCTTCCACCGAACAACAAACACTAACAGTGATGTTTTAAATCTCTGTTTATGACAAACGTCAATACTTTGTAAACAAGCACTGGGTACTACAAAGTACAATTTCAATGGATGGTTTCACCCAATTTCATTACACCATCCACTTGAAATAAAAAAGCTGTAGTTGCTATGCATTTTATAGCTATTACATGGTGATTATTAAATGTCAGGATGGAAAAAAACCCAACGTATATATAAATATCAGCCTGCCTGCAGACAGTCTCAGCAATTTCTGGATGAAGTCCTCTTTTAGGATGTTGAATACCACCACCAGCTACTACACAATTTCTAATACTCAACACTAGAGAAATCTATTTAGCAGCAGTTTTAAAATAAAACTGACTTGGAGATCAGATGTGTTTTTGGTTAAAATATTATTTTCCAAATAGCTCTCATGATCAAATGATTATGATTTCAATTACTAGTTTCTTCATATCCTTTCCAAGAACTGGTATGACTAATTTTGGCTGGCATACAAAGTAAGCTGAGCAGACAATTTATTAACCAAAAGAAAAGTACAATCGCTATTACATCATCAATGAATAAACTTGTTTTTGAGAATACAACCTTCGCACACACACACATGATGTGTACACAGGGAAAAAAAACAAAAAAAAAAGAGGGAAGGAAAAAAAAAAAAAAAGAAACTGTACTGTAACGGGGGTGAAGCAATGCTGGCGCACTCACCGGCTCTGCTCAGGCTGCCACGGAGGGCGAAATGGAAAGGCAGGAGCAGAGGGAGAGGTGGATTTGGGGGGGCAGGGGAGAACGTACCCCCGCCATATGCTTTCTGTGGCAGCAGCACGGCCACAGCCATGAAACCATGGTGTTTAGCATCCCTACACTGATACGAGGGGCCAGGAAAAGACCCTGAGAAAAGACCATTGTGCAGTCACCTCAGCCCTGCACAAAATGGCACTGTGAGCCTAAATACAGCCACCGTGGTGCAAAGGGGCACCCAGGATGGCCCCACAGAGTGGCTGAGCACACAACGGAGTGCGTGAACTTAAAATACAGAAGAAATTCGGGCTGTCACTGTGCCATGACAGAGGCTGTGGGCCAAACGCCGTCCCCCTTTGGAGGCAGTGCTAGGCGATGGCACCTTGTCGGGCCACCCTGTCACCCCTGCAGCAGCTGTGTCCCAAGGGCACTCGGTCCCCATCACCCCTGCGGCAGCTACATCCCTAAGGGAGCCAGCTCGGCTCCCAAATCCACTGGGATTGCCTGAGAGGGGCAGCCGACCAGAGGCCTCGCACTCACAGCTGTCAGGCTGGGCCTTGCGCCACTGCCGAGCAATGGCAGCACCCGCCTCACGCTGCCGGGCCAAGAGGGCCCATCCTGCACCTGCTGTAACGGCAGCTCCACTGCGGTCAGGGCACCCAAAAGCCAGAGCTGTTCTTAACATTAAAGACACCACTGTGAGGTTTTGGGGTTGCCCTGAAGGAAGCCGGGCCAAGGCCAGGCCTGACCTGCAGAGGCAATGGCCGCAGGACAAGCCCCTCGTGAGGGAGGATGGGGGGCACCGCCTCTCCCGCACCGTCCTCCGCACCAGCACTGGCCTCGTGTCCTCCCCTTGGGCCGCTGGCCATCACCACGGGTGCACCAGGGAAGCACGGACACGCTCACCTTTAGCCAGAAAACAGAAAAATTACCCTATATATTTCAGGGCCTGCCTCGGGTGGCTCTGCGCTACACACAGTGGGACCACGCAGACCTGTTCTCTCACACCGCGCGTTTTTTTGAGCTCTTGCTCATTTCCAGCCCAATTCGGAGACAAAAGGCCACGTCCACAACAACTCCCCACATACCCCAGTGGTCCCAGGTCAGACTGCGGTCCTCCTCTGAGCGTTGCTGCCAACACCACTCTCGCCAGCAAGGGGCCACATCTCCAGGTAATTTTTTACCCTGGCACTTCATCGTACAAACACTGTCACCCAGCAAAATGTAGCGGGTAGCCCTTTCTTTCTGAGGAGCCCAAGCCACAGGAAGCTTCCAGAGAGTCTGTCTTCCCCACGTCTTGGCAGTTTGCTAACACAAGAGGTCATGTGCCCCAACGGCACCCAAACAGAGGTCACCCAACTATTTCATCAGCTTTGGGATTTCGATGCCCCTTGCCAAGCTCTCACACACACCCTCCAGCAACCTTTCCAAGTGCTCAGACACAAGCTATGAGTCAAGGGGGTTGTTTATTATTTTTTTGGAGGTGACAAAAGGGTCCCTCTCCTTTTTCGTTACACAAAAATGTCTTGCGGCTGTGTGTCACAACAGAAGTTGCTTCGGGACCCGCAGGGCTCTGCCAGCCAGAGGAGACCCGTAGCCATCCCGTACCCATTCCTGCACACCTACCACCACAGCCCATGCAGAGAAACGCTTTCAACGAGATGAAAAAAGAATACAGATGTTGAATAAATAAAAAACAGGTACACGGTGACACATGACTAACAAACCTTTAGAAGATTAAAGAAATCTGCTGTATAACCTTCATGTCATTCATAATTATATCTCTGTGTAAACATGAAAACCCACCCACGTCGCATACAGTGCATATATATATCTATACAAAAATCAACTCATCGTGTATTAGCTATGCTCTGAAGTGATATGTTTATGAGGCCTCCATTGCGTGGTTAAATCTTTAATTGCTTTTTTTCCTGCTACAGCAAGATGAGGTTTGCAGGAGGAAACAGCCAGTGCTGATTTCAGCTCCGCTCAGGAATGAGATTTATCTCGGATGGGCCTTTTTGGATGCTGACCAACCAGTGACAACACTGTTCCCAGCCACAAAGTTGTCTAAATCTCAAAATAAGCACTGACTATAATAAGATGCACTTTTTCTTCTGTTTCTATAAAAGCAGGTATCTAGTCAGCCTATAATTTTACTACATCTTACAAGACTCCTGAGCAAAGTACAATACTTTCACCTATCAAGTGAGAAATGGGGAGATGGTTAAGAAAGATGGCGATACAAACCCTTCTCATCCCTCTCTCATTTTTTTTAAGAGCATATTGGATTTGCATTTTCAGAGAAGTCGTCCAGGGAGAAGGGGACAGTATCTTCTCGAGAGCCGTTATGCTTAAATATTATGTCACTGTTGTCTAAGCAACCATCACAGCCTCCCGAAAGCACAGAATGCTATATTGCCTGACTCAGCAGATGGTTGAAATACTTACATTCAGGGAAAGAGGTCAGGTAGTTATAATAGTTTAAAGCAGATAATTATTTTTTAGAAGAAATATTAACTCTTACAAGGCAGGGAGTCACAGGGCAGCACAGGGAGGTCGTACATCTTGATTGCATGCCCGCATACAGTACGTCACAACTCCTCACTCATTGCCAATAACTAGGAAAGATTTATATTTTAGAGACGCCGAGGCAGCCTTAAAAGAATTATGGCAACTGAGATATCTCAAAATTTTGACGTGCTGAGACTGTTTTCACTCCAGTGCTTCCAGAGGTCATTTAAGGAATTCTGGAGGGCACGAGCGAGTCGAACACCTGCTTGGCTGTCTCCTAACATCAAATACATGGCCTAGAGAGAAACAGGAGACGTACTGTAAAAACTCTTGCCGACAATTACAGGAGACACTGCGTGTCATTTATCTGATCAGTACGATTTGCATTAGAAAACATCTTCAAGCCTTTTTACTGAAACCTTTAGCACAGTAGATAGCTGGGGATGCATATTTTACAACCCAGTACATTGCTGATGAAAACACATTCATCCACGGGAGCAAAAAATACAGTGCGACTCTTACAGACTATATTCACCAAGGATAATAGAACTGCATATTTCATTTGGGCATAAAGGCCTCTATTATTCTGGGCTTTTTTTTTTACATCCCATGTATTTTTTAGTTTTTTGCAATTTAGGTGAAAAGGACCTTGCCAAACCTTGCGCAAGAGTGCGGTTCTCACCCCGGCAATCTGGTTCCCTGCTCTAGATCCCTTCGAGGAGTGGAAGGTTGTGTTGCAGAAGTGTAGAAGGTAAGGAGGGGGCTTATTTCCAGTAAGCACCTCTCCTGTAGCAATGCATTTACCTGGGTGTTTGAGGAAAGTACTGTCA